CTCTCCTCCTCGGGGTCGTGCTCTCCTTCTCACCTTCGTAGTTACCGACTCATCTTGCACCAATCCCGTCACTCGGTTGTCTTAACTATACAATTGGTTGACAACGTCTCCCAGGACGAGTCAAGAGAGAGAGCGCCACCTCTCTCTTTCTTCTCTCTCCTGGGAAATAAAACATTCTTCTGGACGATTATATTCTTTAATGTGCACCACAATGGCCTCATTAACCCTTAATCGTCTGGTCCTGTTCACCCAGCGGTAATTGGGGACCTGGGAGTATTTTATTCGTTTGTATCATGTACCCCCCTTCTCCCTCCTTCCTAACGTCGTCAGGTTTAGTTCCCTCAGTCTCTCTTCGTACATCATCCCTCGCAGCTCTGGGACAAGTCTCGTTGTAAACTTCTGCATCTTTTCGAGCTTCCTTATGTGTTTTTTAAGATGGAGGCTCTAGGTTTGGTGTTATGTCCACTCGCACGTCTTTTTTCTCTAGACGTTATTGGGCGGTAGTTTCCCTTCATCGTACATCGGCCTTTCGGTCTCCATGCTCCTGTCCCCATTTTTTTCACCTTGCACGTGTTAGTGTTGAACTCAAGCAGCCACATCTCGGACAATCTTTGCAACCTGTTCAAGTTATCCTGGAGAATCTTACAATCTTCATCTGTCTTAACCCTCATTAGTTTTGCATCATCTGCAAACATTGACATATAAGACTCAACTCCTGCAGTCAAGTTATTTACACAAATGAGGAATAATATGGGTCCCAGCACCGATCCTTGGCGCACCTCGCTTGTTACTCTACGCCTGTCCGAATCCTCGCCCCCACACTGTCACTCTTCAATGTGTACTCTGATGATGCATTTTGGTTCTACAAGGTAGCCATCTCCATCAAAATATTAAATATGTACCCAACTCCGTTAATGATTAATCAACTAATTACTCCATGGAATAACTGGGATCTATCAGTTGATTTTGTAAATGCGCCCAAGAAAGATAGTGTACACTCTACATTATTAACACAGTTAACACTGAAAAGCATCACTGAAAGTACTCAGAGTATGGGTAACGATGTGTATCAGTGCTATGCCGACTGCTCTGTAGAAGAAGGTGGACGATGTACCGGATGTGCATGTAATATATTTAAATAATCTTCTCTCGTACATACAGCAATGAAGCGCGTCAATAACTGGGCAAGTACAACTCAAACCAAACTTGCAGGCATATACCGTGCCACTGAATTTTAACAGAAAAAGGCAGTGGACTTATATACTGTGACTCGCAGAGTGCACTCCTGGCATTGAACTCACATAGTAGTGACACCCAGAAAATAGTCAGTGATATACGAATGAATGTTTTAGCTACTAAAGAAAACAGATTTGAAATTAAATTCCTATGGATACCATCACATGTTGGCATCTCAAGGCATGACACTGTTGATATGCTTGCAAAGACAGCCTGTAGAAAACCAGTGGTAGAAATTGATATGGGTGTTTCATTAGCAGTGACAAAGACAATACTTAAACAAATATCTAATGAAGATCTCACCGACCTAACAAATTCACAAAGACCTGGAAGTTGTAGCATTAAATATTATGATAGATATCGTGAGGAGACATTCACATATGGGACTAGTAGAACAAGAACCCGGCAATGTGATGTTATAGTGGCCAGAATACGCCTGGGATATAGACGTATCTGGCAGCTTTCTCAAACCCCAAATGTCGAATACACAATGTGTCAACTTTGTGAAAGTGTCGAATACACCATGTGTCAACTTTGTGAAAGTGTCGAATACACAATGTGTCAACTTTGTGAAAGTGTCGAGTACACAATGTGTCAACTTTGTGAAAGTGTCGAATACACCTTGTGTGAACTTTGTGAAAGAGAAAACATGCACTCCCTTAAACATTATACTGTACAATGTCCCATATATGACTGACTTTTGCCCTCCTAGGCTGAGGTATGCTGAACTCTGTAACTACTATATGAATACTGGAACACTTGATGATATATTGTACTTGTACCCAAGATTGACTATGAAATACATTAGTTATACAATGTATGTGATGTAACTATAACCCTGGCAATGGACGGTGTCTATTGGCAGGAATCGCCTTCCAAGGAAGGGGAATTAGCCGAAAACGCGTTAAGCATTCTCTATTTTTTTTTCAAATGTGGTTTTCCATATATATATATATATATATATATATATATATATATATATATATATATATATATATATATATATATATATATATATATATATATATATATATATATATATATATTTTTTATGAATATAAAAAGAGAAAAAAGAGTACCACCTCTAGCTGGAAGAAGGAGGACCCATAGCCTCGGAGGAAACCACGCATAACGCATTAGAGGGAATGTTTAGATCCCCTCCAATACAGTTTCTGTGTGCTTTTCTCCTACCACCCCCTTCCTTTTTTATTATATATATATATTAGTATATTTTGGTAGCAGTCTTTCCTGTAGACATATATTATTAAATATGACCGAAAAAGTAAGATTAATAATTCTAACACGAATTTTCTCAATATTTCTTATGTTTCTTTTCGCTGTCGATGGTAATTGAAAAATCGATTCTCCAAAATTCATTTTTATTTCTAGTCTGACGCGACACTTGAACGCGTTACGTAAAACTTATTACTTTTTCAAAGACTTTAGTTTACACTCACACAACTATAACCTGCAAACATTAAACAGAGTTTTACTATGCTATCATTTAAACAGCTTTTATCTTATATACCTGCATTTGGGTGAGGTGATATGTTACAACAGTTTTGGCTGAGGTGAACAGAACTTTCAACACAAGACAGAGCAAACTTTCAACACAAGACAGAACACGGTGCATTGGGTATATATTGGATAAATTAAAGGGAAGAATGGAAGTAACTGCAAAGGGCCTATTGGCCCATATTTCGTGATGCTTCTATATTGGTGCGGAGTCTTGAAGTGGGTAGAATATAGTTGTGCATTAATTGGCTGTTGATTGCTGGTGTTGACTTCTTGATGTGTAGTGCCTCGCAGACGTCGAGCCGCCTGCTATCTCTGTATCTATCGATAATTTCTGTGTTGTTTGTTAAGACTTCTCTGGTGATGGTTTGGTTGTGGGAAGAGATTATATGTTCCTTAATGGAGCCCTGTTTCTTATGCATCGTTAATCGCCTGGAAAGAGATGTTGTTGTCTTGCCTATATACTGAGTTCTTGGAGCTTACAGTCCCCAAGTGGGCATTTGAAGGCATAGACGACGTTGGTCTCTTTTAAAGCGTTCTGCTTTGTGTCTGGAAAGTTTCTCATGAGTAGGTTGGCCGTTTTTTTGGTTTTATAGAAAATCGTCAATTATATCTTCTGATTTTTGTCTGTTGGGATAACGTTCCTATTATCAATATCTTTCAGGACCCTTTCCTCCGTTTTATGAGCTGTGGAAAAGAAGTTCCTGTAAAATAGTCTAATAGGGGGTATAGGTGTTGTGTTAGTTGTCTCTTCAGAGGTTGCATGGCTTTTCACCTTCCTTCTTATGATGTCTTCGACGAAACCATTGGAGAAGCTGTTGTTGACTAGGACCTGCCTTACCCTACAGAGTTCTTCGTCGACTTGCTTCCATTCTGAGCTGTGGCTGAGAGCACGGTCGACGTATGCGTTAACAACACTCCTCTTGTACCTGTCAGGGCAGTCACTGTTGGCATTCAGGCACATTCCTATGTTTGTTTCCTAAACAAAAGGAAACTACAAAACTTTCCCTACAGACAAAAATCAGAAGATACAATTGACGATTTACTATAAAACCAAATTAATATTCAGTGATGAGTGAAGTTATGAGGTGGCTGGTGATGAGTGAAGTGATGAGGTGGCTGGTGATGAGTGAAGTTATGAGGTGGCTGGTGATGAGTGAAGTTATGAGGTGGCTGGTGATGAGTGAAGTATTGAGACGGCTGGTGATGAGTGAAGTTATGAGGTGGCTGGTGATGAGTGAAGTTATGAGGCGGCTGGTGATGAGTGAAGTATTGAGACGGCTGGTGATGAGTGAAGTTATGAGGTGGCTGGTGATGAGTGAAGTTATGAGGTGGCTGGTGATGAGTGAAGTTATGAGGCGGCTGGTGATGAGTGAAGTATTGAGACGGCTGGTGATGAGTGAAGTTATGAGGTGGCTGGTGATGAGTGAAGTTATGAGGTGGCTGGTGATGAGTGAAGTTATGAGGCGGCTGGTGATGAGTGAAGTATTGAGACGGCTGGTGATGAGTGAAGTTATGAGGTGGCTGGTGATGAGTGAAGTTATGAGGTGGCTGGTGATGAGTGAAGTTATGAGGCGGCTGGTGATGAGTGAAGTATTGAGACGGCTGGTGATGAGTGAAGTTATGAGGTGGCTGGTGATGAGTGAAGTATTGAGACGGCTGGTGATGAGTGAAGTTATGAGGTGGCTGGTCTCTCAACCCGTCACCATCAACATACATAACTTCACATTTCCTCAAAGTTTTCTTTTCCAATCATAAATTTGAATGATATTATTCCTCTTTAAAATAGGTATTAATGTTTGTGTTAGAAAAGAATTAACTATCAATGCAAACTAATAAAATCCTTTTGGTGTTGTTTCAGCTGTTGTGTTCCTAATTAGTTATAATAATAATTTATTTTTATCAAATTATTTTTGGTCATTTGGAACATATGAACCTTACGCCTTTACGTCTTAAACTTACTCATTGTAATTCCCGTTCTTAAGGGGCGGGGGTGGGGGGGGGGGGAGGGGACATTATAAATATAGGGAGCATTTGTACCCAACCAGTTGGACCAACTGGGATCGAACGCCGACCCTTGTCCGCACCTGCTCCAGATGCCTCTTGACCTCACAGTTCTGCTATATACTGGCTTACCACTTTCTCCTCATAAATTCCTTCCTCCTCCTTCCTGCTTCTTCATGTCTCCTGCCTGTCCTCCTCCTCCTCTCCGCTACCAATTCGTGACATGGCTGATGTTCCTTCGTCAGGTGGTGGAGGCGGACCCGTCGCTACTGAAGGCGAGGGACGAAGATGGCTACACGCCGCTCCATCTGGCCACCATCGCCGGCAACAGGGCCGTGGTCAAGTACCTCCTGACGAAGGGAGCCGACGTGAAGTCACTGGACAACGAGAAGCACACAGCCGTCCACTGGGCCACGGGTGAGTACTCACTCCGCACCTTCAGCCACCATGAGGTCAAGATTGGGGTGGGGGGGGGGGGGCGGGGGAGAGAGATGGGGGATAATAAATTCATGAAATATAGGATGAGGATAGAGCATGAGTGCTTTACTCATGAAGTATGAGGAAAGGCTGTCCATTTTAGATTAGTAGAGGTTGTGTTACAGTTTAGTAAGACAACCTCTGGTGAGTAAGTCAGCGTGTTGGGCTGCTGCCCTTGGTCCGGCTTTACACTCCGCTCATTAACATTTTCATCGAGTGCATTTTGGGTAGGAGCAGACTGGTCAATTTTTTTTTTGTTATTAACACATTTACGTACATCTGCATTTGTGCAGCTACCCTTGTCTATATGAAAGAGAGTACAAAGTGTGTCACAAAACTAGCTACGTGATGCTAAAACACCCATCACACTGGATAGTTAGTCATACAGAGGCATGTGAGCAGAAGTCTTCACTGGCAAACTCGGGGTGCATTATGAGGATATCATCATCAACAAGAGTGAATAAGGCAGCAGTGGTACTGAAACTCCTCATCTCGCAGGGTGGTTAATCATACAGGGCCATACAGGTCCTGGGTTCGTGTCCTGGCCGGGAAGGATTTACTGGACGCAAATCTTTAACTGTAGCCTGTTTAACTCAACAGTAAAATGGGCACTTGGTCGTAAAAACGATTCTTCGTGGGGGTCGTATTCCAGGGACCATAAGATTATGAACTTGCCCGAAACGCTACGCGCACTAGTGGCTGTACAAGAATGTAAGAACTCTTGTATGTATCTCAAAAAGAAATACATTCAGTAGCCTGCACTGGCACATTTTAAATGCATTATGAGGATATTGTCAAGAACACGAGAGTTAATAAAGTAATTGCAAAGCTCCAGGTACCTCATGCCAACGGGTCTGAATGGTCTGGTAACTGGGCATTCGGTGATGTAGTGTGCGAGATCATGTCCCAGTTCCTGCTCACAGAGGTTACACCTGGAGTGCTCAGGATTGGGAAATTCGTCACCTGTAGCCACTTGCCACAGGTAACGGCAACCCAACCTGATCCTAGCAACCACTGTGTCGCATAGTTTGGGGGACGTTTTGTGCTAGCCATAAATATAGGTTTCAGATCTGAACAAATCATAGCTTTTTATACTAGTACTTTCAGGTCGTTGGGAGTCAGTAATTTCTTTCCTATCAGACCTGAGTGTTTGGACCAATACAGTTTTGACAGTAGAGATGGGGATACCTAGATCTAATTCAACTTCATCTTTGTTACACGCTAATTTGGCTGCAATGTCTGTCTCATTATGATGAGTTATATTTATGTGTGATGGTATCCATACAAAGGAGATTCTAGACCCTTTGCTCTGTGCAGCAATTAGGTCATTTATAATTGGTAGTATGAGGTTCTTGCTGTCGATCTTCCAGAAGAAGTTTTTGATTGCTTGAAGAGTAGACTTTGAATCACAAAATATTATTCCTCCACCAATGTTTTTCAATGTACTGATAGCTAGTTGTAATGCTGCTAGTTCTGCTTGTGTGGAGGTCAGTCAGTTGTTTAACCTGACACTGCAGCGACACTGACAGTCCATGTGCAAATATTTTTCTATAAAAATCTACATGCTGCTGCAGTCCGTCCAGTAGAAGACTGGACTGAGCCGTCGGTGTAGACACAGTGCTCGTGAGATTTTAAATTTTCGATGGAGGAGGCAATTGTTTCAAGAGTGACAGCTTTGAGTAGAGCAAGATTCTCATTATCTTTCTTGGTGACAGGTGTGTATGATACATGAATGGTGGGGTACAGATAAAGAGGAATATCAGAGACTGGTAGATTGCACTTAAAAGGAAGGTTGAGTTTGATGAGATTGTAGGCATTTTTGATCAGCCATTTGTCATAAAAGGAGTGAGTTTGTATGTCGGCACCAGTCAATACGGTGTTACCAGCACTAAATAATTTGTCTCTGAGCAAAGCAGTCTTTTTTATTAATATATTAGGTACTTTTATTAATATATTAGGTACATCTGCATTTGTGCAGCTACCCTAGACTATATGAAGGGGAGTACAGGGCGTGTCAAAAAAGCTAACTACGTGATGCTAAAAAATCCCCATCATGCAGGATGGTTAGAACAAAAAACAACAATGCAGTCAAGAGCAGCAACAACATAAGACCTCTACGGTGAACACCCTTCGTGTTTCAGTTATGACCCGAGGCTGTGAACCTTCTGGTATTAATTTACCACCATATTGCCTTAAGCTCAGGTCTAAACCTCCGACACTGACCAAACATTAAAAATTAAGTACAAGAACTAGACTGTGTGTATGTATATGTAGTACGGTTAAGTTAGTTCTCGACTCACAATTGGGAATTCCAGGCCCGAAATCCGGGCGGGACAGAAGTGGTTGGGCACGTTTCTTTTTAATTAATGGCTTGGTTCACCTAGCAGTAAATATGTACCCTGGAGTAGTTGGGTTGCATCCTGGGGAGGGTCAGTAGTTTGACCTACGGCAGACGTCGATAACTATTACATATTTATTTATTTTTTTATTTAAATATATGTACCGATTGATTGAGTGCATTAAATCATCTATTTTTCACAAACCTAGAGCTATTGAACGTCCACTCACACCTCCATAACTCTAAAACTAACACTCTTCCACGACCATAACCTCCCCACCACTCCGCCACCTCCACCACTCCGCCACCTACACCACTCCACTTCCACTACTCCGTCACCTCCCGCTCACCATCACCATCATTCGAGTATTCCCAGTACCTGCCTTGTCATCGACAGGTTACCTGATTATTGACAATCCACACAACTTAACCATGACATAATTAGGTCGAAGCGCAGGATAGGTAGACACGAGGGGAGAGATAGTGAGAGGGGGGGGGAGAAAGATATATATATATATATATATATATATATATATATATATATATATATATATATATATATATATATATATATATATATATATATATATATATATATATATATATATATATATATATATATATATATATATATATATAGTTAGATAGAGAGAGAGAGAGAGAGAGAGAGAGAGAGAGAGAGAGAGACAGAGACAGAGACAGAGACAGAGAGAGAGAGAGAGAGAGAGAGAGAGAGAGAGAGAGTGAGAGAGAGAGAGAGAGAGAGAGAGAGAGAGAGAGAGAGAGAGAGAGACAGAGAGAGACAGAGAGAGAGAGAGAGAGAGAGAGAGAGAGAGAGAGAGAGAGAGAGAGTGAGAGAGAGAGAGAGAGTATATGTAAACTTACTCCTCACCCCAATACATTAGATAATCGGATCTTGCACTAGCATGGAGGCGAGCAGAGAGGTTTGCAGACCAGTCAGGCACGAGTAGAGAGGTTTGGATTATTTGTATTTTTATAATTCTTCTTCCTATCTTTCTCCTCCACCTTGGTGACTAAAAGCACAGAGGTTTGCCCACCGGGCGGGCTTAGTGGTGGGATGGAGGGTGTCTCAGACCCTATAAACCCCCAAAACACCACCTTCTCTCACCACAAAAGCCTCCAAAACATCCCGACAAGACCCACTTACTGCTTCAAGGAACAAGTATAAAAGCCTCAATGAAGGAAAAAGAATTAATTAAATTTAACTAAAAAGAAAAGATTACCCTTAAATCTCTCGGGAAAGAAAGAGGTCGCGTTCAAATTAAAATATATCTGAATAATTTCTGGTTACGTTATAATTACCTTCGGGGTCTTGGGTGTGGTGTGGTGTATGTCCTTTATTACTGTGTGTGTGTGTGTGTGTTACTCACCTAGTTGTGCTTGCGGGGATTGAGCTTTGGCTCTTTGGTCCCGCCTCTCAACCGTCAATCAACTGATGTACAGATTCCTGAGCCTACTGGGCTCTATCATATCTACATTTGAAACTGTGTATGGAGTCAGCCTCCACCACATCTCTGCCTAATGCATTCCATCCGTTAACTACTCTGACACTGAAAAAGTTCCTTCTAACGTCCCTGTGGCTCATGTGGGTACTCAGTTTCCACCTGTGTCCCCTTGTTCGCATCCCACCAGTGTTGAATAGTTTAGCCTTGTTTACCCGGTCGATTCCCCTGAGGATTTTGTAGGTTGTGATCATGTTTCCCCTTACTCTTTTGTCTTCCAATGTCATAAGGTGCATTTCTCGCAGTCTTTCCTCGTAACTCACACCTCTTAGTTCTGGGACCAGTCTAGTGGCATACCTCTGAACTTTTTCCAGCTTCGTCTTGTGCTTGACAAGGTGCGGGCTCCATGCTGGGGCTGCATACTCCAGGATTGGTCTTACGTATGTGGTGTACAAGATTCTAAACGATTCCTTACACAGGTTCCTGAAGGCTGTTCTGATGTTAGCCAGCCTCGCATATGCCGCAGACGTTATTCTTTTTATGTGGGATTCAGGAGACAGGTTTGGTGTGATATCAATTCCTAGATCTTTCTCTCTTTCCGTTTCATTAAGTACTTCATCTCCTATTCTGTATCCTGTGCCTGGCCTCATGTTTCCACCGCCTAGTTTCATTACTTTGCATTTATGCGGGTTAAACTTTAGCAGCCATTTGTTGGACCATTCACTCAGTCTGTCTAGGTCATCTTGTAGCCTCCTACTATCGTCCTCAGTTTCAATCCTCCTCATAATTTTTGCATCATCGGCAAACATTGAGAGAAACGATTCTATACCCTCTGGGAGATCATTTACATATATCAGAAACAGTATAGGTCCAAGGACTGACTCCTGCGGGACTCCACTTGTAACGTCTCGCCAATCTGAGACCTCACCCCTCACACTGACTCGTTGTCTCCTGTTGCTTAGGTACTTAGGTTACTTCTGTTACTTAGGTGTGTGTGTGTGTGTGTGTGTGTGTGTGTGTGTGTGTGTGTGTGTGTGTGTGTGTGTGTGTGTGTGTGTGTGTGTGTGTGTGTGTGTGTGTCTGCAGAATCGACATCTCTAATCAACAAATCCACAAGGGCCTTGATAAAGATTCGACCC